TCACCTGCGGGTTGTCCCCGCTCAGGTTTGGAGGAGTCTCATCTCGCCGACGCCTTGGAACAGGACCGCGGCACCGCCCTCCGGTCCGGGCCTGGTGGCGGCAGGGCGCGTGTTAGTCGGCCGACGGCCTCGGCGTGTTTGACGCATCTGCAACCTAAGCAAAACCTGCGTTTCTTTACTGCGGTGAACTGCAGGTGCTTGAAGGAACATTCAGGTTAGGACTGCAAAGGAGGGGCCTGGCGGTGCCTGGTGCTCGGTTTTCCTGGCACTGCGGCCGCGTAGAGCTCCAGTTTGCTGTGTACGGCAAAAGTTCTTTGCACTCCCTAACTGAGTGACTTTGATCTTGTGTTCTGCAGCACTGTTTTGTATTCACTTCTTGATGCATTAATGAGAGAGAACTTTCTGGCTTTTCTGAGTTTGATTGTCTAATTTTTCAAGTCCCTTTCGTTTCAGTGGAAATGCATGCCTCCGACCGGTCCTTCAGGACCTCCCTCTTGCAGCTTAACCCCTGGTTGGCCGCTGAGCCTCACACAGCTGCTGCCTTGCTCCCTGCTGCACAATGGGCAGAGAATCAGGAGGGCAAAAGCACAGAAACTTGTGGCCTGAAATCAAGACAGTTTAATTAGCAAAGCAAAATAAGGAATTAGTTCACCACTTGCCATCAGCAGCAGGTGTCCAGCCATTTCCAGGAAAGCTGGGCTCTGTGCCTGTAGCAGTTACTAGGGAGGACAAACACAATTGCTCCAAATGTCCTCCTTTCTTCCTTTTCGCCACAGTTTTATGTGCTGAGTATGACTATATGTGGTCTGAAAATACGCTTTTGGATATTTTCTCTGGGGTGCCTTTTCACCACAGGAGTTACTTTTCAAGGCCCAGGATGGCATCCTGGGTGGTGGCATGGGGCACTGGATGTGTTTCCAGACATCCAGTAGTTGCCTCCACCATTGTGAGGACATGGTGCTTGCTTTGGTGGGTCTGTGGCAGGGGGATGTAGTCAGTCTCCTGGGCCTCTCCGTATTTATATTTGAGCCATTGTCCCACATACCACTGGGGTTTCATTGCAGCACGTGTCACGGTCATGGATGACCTCTGTGATAGTGGCCATGGTCAAATCCACCCCTCGGTCTCAAGCCCATCTCTATGTTGCATCTCCACCCTGACGGCCTGAGGTGTCTGTCATGGGCCCACCGAGCTATTAATAATTCACCCTTGTGCTGCCAGTCCAAATCTACCTGAGCCACTCAAATCTTGTCAGCCTGAGCCACCCACTGGTTGTTCTGATGTTCTGCTCTGGCCTGTCTCTTGGGTGCAGGGACATACACATGACGTGCTTTGACAACCAGGTTCCCTGCCTGAGCAGCAATATCTTACCATAATTCAGCAGCCCAGATAGGTTTACCTCTGTTCTGCTGGTTGCTTCTCTTCCACTGCTGTAACCAGCCCTACAAGGCATTTGCCACAATCTATAAGGCAGTGCAGAGATAGAGCACTGGCCACTTCTCTCTCTCAGCAGTACCTAAAGCCAGCTGGACGGCTTTCAGCTCTCCAGACTGACCTGACCTTGCCCTTCAGGAGCTGCAGGCCCTCGCCGTGTGGGACTCCACACAGCAGCCTTCCTCCACCTTTGTAGCCACACAATACGACAGGACCCACCAGTGAACACGGCGCATCGCTTCTCGTTCTCTGGCAGCTTGGTATGTGGTGGGGCCTCCTTGGCAAATGTCATCTGCTCTGGTGGCGCAATACGACAGGACCCACCAGTGAACACGGCGCATCGCTTCTCGTTCTCTGGCAGCTTGGTATGTGGTGGGGCCTCCTTGGCAAATGTCATCTGCTCTGGTGGCGTCCCAAAATCTTTGCCCTCTGGCCAGTTTGGGATCACCTACAGGATTCCTGGACAGCTGGGGTTCCCTGTTCTAGCCCGTTGTGTTACCAGGGCAACCCATTTACTCCATGTGGCATCGCATGGTGTGTGGAGGAGACCCTCCCTTTGAACATCCAGCCAAGCACCAGCAGGCGGGGTGCCAGGAGGAGCTGTGCTTCAGTGCCAACCACCTCTGAGGCAGCTCCAGCTCCTTGATATGCTGCCAGAATCTCTTTTTCAGTTGGAGTGTAGTTGGCCTGAGATCCTTTGTATCCACAACTCCAAAACCGCAGAGGTCATCCTCAGGTCTCCCCAGGTGCTCTCTGCCAGAGGCTCCAGGTAGGACCGTTCTTCCCGGCTGCGGTGTAGAGAATGTTTTTAGTATCTTGTCCTGCCTGGGCTGCCCCGAGAGCTACTGCGTGCCCAATCTCCCGTTTAATTTGTTCAAAGGCTCGCTGCTGCTCAGGGCCCCATTTGAAATCGTTCTTCTTCCAGGTCACTTGGTATAGAGGGCTCACAATCAGACTGTAGTCTGGGATGTGCATTCTCCAGGAACCCACAGCACCCAAGAGAGCCTGTGGTTCCTTTCTGCAGGTTGGCATGGACATGGTTGCTATCTTGTTGATCACATCCATTGGGATCTGACAATACCCATCTTTCCAACATATTCCCCAAAAACTAGATCTCTTGTGCCAGTGCCTTAACCTCTGCTTTATGGGAAAACGAGTGTTCAGGAGGATTTCAATTATTTTCATCCCTTTCTCAAAGAATTCTGCTGTGTCACACCCCACGATGATGTTGTCAATGCACTGTAGGTGTTCTGGAGCTCTACCCTTCTCCAGTGCAGTATGGATCAGGCCATGGCAGATGTCTGGGCTCTGTTCTGCAGCTGTGGCCGCACTCTGATTCTATAGGAGTGCAGAAAAACACGTTAGCAGTGTCAGTCATGGTGTGCCACTTTGCTGCCTTTGACTCCAGTTCCTACTGGAACCCCAGCACGTCTGGCACAGCAGCGCTCATCACTGGTGTCACTTCATTCAGGCCACAGTAGTCCACTGTCAGTCTCCATTCCCCACTAGGCATTCACACAGGCCCTATGAGGGCATTGAAGGGTGAGTAGCTGATCACCCACTGGCTCTCTAGCTGGTGAATCAGGTTCTGGATGGGGTTCAGGGAATCTTGGCTGGCTGCTGCAGGTGCACTGTTGTGGTAGTGGCTGGCAGCTCTACCTGCATCAACCACAGAAGGGTCCTCTGAGAGCCCGGACAAGGGGGGCAGCTGCTCAAGTTCCTCCAAGGCAGTGATACCAAAGGCCCAGAGGTACCCTCTGGGGTACTTGAAATCCCCTCTTCTGAAGTAGTGTGTGCCAAGGATGCACGGGTCCTCTGGGCCAGTCAGGGTGGGGTGTTTGTGCCACTCCTTCCCAGTCAGGCTCAGTTCAGCTCCCAGCACAGGGAGCTGCTGGGATCCCCTGTCACCTGGCAATAGAGATCAGTTCGGCCCCACTACAGCAGGATGGGGTCAGGGTGCACTGTGCACCAGTGTTGACCAGAGCCTTGAACTCCGTGGGTCTGAGGTGCTGGGCCATTGGATCCACACAGTCCAGTGAGCCCCACTGTCCCTCTCCTTCACCCGGCTGGAGGCAGGGCCCCTCTAATCCTGGTCGGAGTCGCTCATCTCTTGTAAAAATGATATATAGGTCCCTTCAAGAGGATCAGAAGTAAGATCAGCTCTTGTACTCTGTCTGGGGAGGTTTCCATTGGCATCTGGAGCAGTGTTTTTCTTGGATGACTCCCCTTTCACAGTTGCTTTCCCTTGCAGCTCATGTACTCGTGCAGCTAGAGTCAAAGTGGGCTTTCCATCCCACTTCCTCATGTCCTCTCCCTGGTCACTTAGGTAATACCACAAGGTACCATGTGAGATGTACTTCCCATATTATCTCTCTTGAGCAGGGGACTGTCTGCTTCCAATAACTGAGACACAGACCTGTACAGCTGCAGAGTAGGACAGGTCTTCTTCAATTTTCTGGACCTTCTGGGACAGTTCCTCCACAGACAAAATGCAGGCCTGTAGGAAGAGACTACCTTTGTATTGCTGGAGCTGGCCAGCCAGTTCATCCACCGTTTGTCCCTGGCCATTCCTCCAGGACACTCCCACCAAGGAGCTGGCATATGGTGGTGGTGCCCCTCGCAGGAACTTCCTCCACATGGGTGGTGTGCGTAGGACTTCACCTGGATCTCTGGGGGACTGCTCGTCATTCTGGTCATTGTAAATCATCCCCAGCACAGCCAATTCCCTCAGGTACTGGACACCTCTCTCCATGGTGGTCCACTTAGCTGAGTGACATGTGACATCTTCCTTGAGGGAGTAACTCTCCTTTACACCTGAGAGGAGTTGCCCCCAAAGGCTGAGGGCTTGTGTCTGTTTCCCAACTGCCTTGTCAATGCCCCCTTCTCTGGACAGGGATCCCAGTTGCTTGGCCTCCCTCCCTTCTAGATTCGTGCTGCCAGCCCCATTGTTCCAGCATCAGAGCAGCCAGGTGACAATCTCACCAGGCAGATGGCTGAAATCCTTTAAGATATTCTTGGAAAAGAATTGTATCCCCCTAAATAAAGTTGGCACACAGGTAGTAAGGAGAAGATAAGTGATGAATTACTTTCCCCCGTTTCTTGCTGTATGAAAACCAAAGGGTGTTGAAGGGAACTTGTGAAGATCTCATTCAGAACACACAGACAGGCACCATGTAGTGAGGCTGTTGAACACCTTGCTGAGGGGTGTTCTGTGTACTAAAGATGCATATGAACTTACAGGTTATGAACTCACAACTTGATTAATCTATTTAGCAGAGACTGTTAAATGCAATAACATCACCTGTAGCATTTGCTTGAGTCGCAGACAAAGAGTAGCTAGAGGGATTTGGGAAAGTTTTCTTGTATGTTTATGGTTTTCCTATATTCCTGCAAAAGCTTTTGCTTCTGACTGTTTCTGAAGATGGCTAAGTGAGTGGTGGGTGTGGTTGTCCTTAAGGGCAGAAGCAAGGCATAGTTACAATGTAGAATTAAAACCCCTCAGTTATAACTGCTGCAGTCCTACTGTGAGCAACAGCCAAGGAGATCAACACTGGAGGAGTCTGCAGATTCTGGAGGGTCATAATGGTTGGCAATTTTACTTGCACTTTAAAAATGACTCTGTGGAAGGAATGGAAAAAATACTTAAATAAGAAAGCTCTCCAGAGAAGCTGAAAGTTGCTGCCTCTAAGTGGCTACATTTGATGTATTGAGTGTAGGCAGTAGAATAACAGCAGCCAGTTTGACTGCTAAATTTTATTATTTTTTTATTTCACAGTTTACGTGCATACTTGCAAACGTGTAAGAGGAATGTTCAGATTGATTGTAACAAAACCTATCAAACTACTTGTTGTATATAACTTTACTAAAATGTTTTTAACATGCCGTCTCTGTTATGTGGCTTATTTTTTGCGAAGCTTTACTGGGCTATGATGTTTGATTTTCTCAGCTGAAAGTGGAGAGCCTTCCAAAGACAGGTTTGGGGAAGGAGCGTGTGAGTTTAGGGTTATTGGCCAACTAGCTTGTAACAGTAAACTTAATTAATAGTAAACAATATTAGAGAATTTTTTAATATTAGAAAATAATACACTAGTTCTTATAGCTGATTAGTTTCTGAGGAAGTACCAGCTACAGGTTGGTTCTAGTAGATAACTGTGGTTTTGTGTATTACTATGTTTATACTGATTGGTGCATAAACATACCTTGCATGTAAGAGTTACAAACCTGTCAAGTATTTCAGAATACTCTGTTAAAAATTTTCCAGTGATGAGAAGGCAGATAGCCCAAACGATGCCGAAGAAGCTGCTAAACCTGCAGATGTGCCCACACAGAGAAGAAAACGGATCTCCACCACGCCTAATCTTGTCAAACCCAGAGCTGGACCTTCATCTTCTCAGCATTCTGCATCAAAACCGCAGAGGAGAGCATCACAGACTCCTGATGGCTCAGCTTCACTTCAGGATTCCTCTCCATCAGAAAAGAGTAATGTTGAAAGCCCTTTAAAATCTCCCATGCTGCCCGAAAAGAAAACACCTGTGCCACAAGTGCCACAGTTTTCCCCACTAAAAAAATCATTGAACAAAGAGCAGACTGTAGCTGTAAGTGCTCAAAAAAATGATGATAGCTTGCAGAAGAACGTACCGTCTCCACTCAAGGAGAGACCAACACAGGAAAGATCAGGAACACAGGAGGAAAAACTACCTACGAAACCTGCTTCCGTAAAGGAGAACCGAATGTGCTCTGACCGTGAGAGGATCCTCAAAGCTCGGAAGTTAAGGGAAATGCTTAAAGAAGAGCTGAAGAAAGAGCAGATGGTAAGCCTCTGTGTTGAGCAGTGCTGGTCTGCGAAGGGCAAAGACAAATGATTCACCTGACATTTATTATCTCTTTGCAGTAGTGTTCTTTGGTGGTCATCAGCTGCCTACTGCTGGTAGTTTGTGACATCTCGTAACTCCGTGAGGGTTTAGCCTGTTCATAAGCAGTAGCAGCACTGTCTTCCCTCATAATATGGATTGCATGACAAAATGTGTCTCTTTTGGTTAGAACCATAAGCCTATTCGACATGAGAATGGCAACGTGCTGATTTCAAAAATTTCATAGTCGATAATGTAATGGGGAAGTGTTCTGTAATAAGCTTCGGAATTGGGGTTCCTCATATCTTTTCACCTTGATTGTTGGCAGTTCTGTAATTTTGAATAACTTTTACTTATGCCAAGTACTGAATTTCTCTGAGGTGGGAAATCACTTAAGGGTCTGTGGTATCCTCTGATAAAGAGGTAAGATAAGTGTAAGATAAACCTGTTTCATTTGCCAGGGGAAACAACAAAATTCCCTCAATGGGGTGCTTTGTAAACAAAGAAAAATACAAATTTGTGAAACAAAAGTATCTTCAGGGTGAAATTCACGTTTGTTTTTTTTCTTTTCATGTGGAAACAGTTGAAACACAGGCCTCCAATAATTGAAGGACGTTCTCCACCAGATCGTTCTAAAATGACCATGAGAGACTTGATATACTACCTGCCAGAAAACAATCCTATGAAGTAAGTGTGACACTTTCTCTCCTTAAGTTAAATGATTTTTCTTTCTTCACGAATTTGATAATTGTGAAAAGGAGAATTCTTAAATCTGGAATATCAGCACAGATGCAGTATTGTTGTCTAGAAGCTTTTGTTACCACTACATTTTCCTATCTACTTTTCCTATATTCCTATCAATCTTTATACAGGAAAGCAAGTGGAGTTTAGTGTACTTGTTAATACAAAAAGTTTGAACCTGTCCCCACTGCTGTTTTATCTCTGTCCAATGCAGAATAATAGAAAATACGTGGGTGTTTTGTTTTTTTTTTTACTGTCTGATGTTAAATTTTTAGTTGCAGCTGGCTGGGATGTTATGAATGCCTGCCAAATCTGGTGGGACTACAGGAAGCTAAGCATTTCTTCTTCCTAGGTGCTGAAGTGCAAAACACACTGCAAGACCCATGAGGTCTCTTCATTCCAGCTGGATGGATATAGCTGCTACTGTTGCCTTTCCAGGTTTCACCAGTAGCAAGGCTGAAGGAGCGCCTCAGAGGTGCCCACATAGAGGGAGCAGGGGCACAGCTGGCTGCACAGGCTGCCACAGACAGAGCAGGGTCTTCTCCCTGCAGCTACCAAAACCCATCTCATAAACATAAGTACAGCTCTCCAAGTCCTATTCTTCATCTCAGCAGCAGATGAGTTTTCTGTGACTGTCATCAGTTGCTAGTTAAACAAAATGCACAAGCGCACAAACTTTTTTGCTTCCTGTGTTTTATTTTACACTGCATAGCCCTTAAGCAGGTAATGAACCAGGCACTCTCACAGTCCCTGTACCCTTATTATTTCCAAGGGGATTATTGCTTGAAATATCTTTTTTTTTTTTTTGACCTTGGTTATGCAGAATATAAAGGGCAAAATTCATTAGGCAGTGGTGGTTGTTCAGTTCGTCTCAAGTCTAATGGGGTACAAAGAACTGAAAAAGAAGCCTAGCATTTCTTTGTCCATTGTCTGCTAAAGGCAGGTTTTGTGGACTGGAGCAGAATGGTATCTGTACAGGTGCTCATCTCTAGCTTTTTCTAAAATTCTAGGTCTTCATTGGCAGAAGAAAAGAGAACAGAAAAAAATTCAGCACTGAGTCAAATGAAAGAGTAAGTCTTCATGAGGGAAGTACTTAACAGTAAAGTTTTGTTTTTGTTTTTTTTTTTTAAAAAAACTAATTTCTGTGTTAATTCTAACAGCATAGGTCTATTGGGGTTTTTTTTAACTGTTTCAGTATTAAAGCACTTATTTATAATTGTAATTTGGGAGGGGAGCATGGTTAAAGAGCATTTTGGTTTTAATATTATGTTTTGGGATTTGTCCATTTTATGATAGAATGAAATGCAAATTCCTGAGTTTATGAATTGACTAACTTGCGGGTGGGTTGCATTGCTGAGTAGTTCATTAAATTGTTGAATTTCTGGCATACAGAGGAGCAGCAATTCAAAACACTAACAAAACTAGTATTTTTGCTTGGTGTCTCAAAATTGTAGACAGGAAGAGAGAAGAACTCCTGATCATGAAGAAGATGATGAAGAGGAAGAAGCAGAGAATGGGGAGGAGAGTCAGGATGCTCCACTTCTAGTTCCTCGTGTGAAAGTAGCAGAAGATGGTTCAATTATTCTGGATGAAGAAAGGTAATAATCTCTGTGCCTGACTCACAGACAATATATACTACATTGCAGCTTAGTTTGTGACTAGAGAACGTTACTCTGGAGATGGGAAAACATCAGTATATTTATGTGTTGAAGGCTGAGCTATCCTAACTTTTTTTTAATATGTGGCAAATTACAAGCAGCAGTGTTCTGCATCTCAGTATTGGCAAATCTTCTCTATAACGTTTTTGAAGAAGAAAATAGAGAGGAAGATGTGTTATTTTAGTACAGTGAGTGAGTACTGAATATTTGTCAAACTTCCAAATGTCTTCTATTTGGTTAACCTCTGTGTTTCTCACAGTTGCATGTGTCTGCTTACTCTTATTCAGTTGTCTTCTGCTGACCACTTTCCTGACATAGAAGGCTAGTATCATTAATGGGCAAGCCAGTAACATAGTATCATAAAGGGAAAAGCCAGTAACCAAAGTCCTTCCTCTGTTCTTAAATCATACACCAGAGATCCAAGGTGGCCCACCACTGGAGGAAGGAGTAAGTTAACACACTCACTTGCAGCATATAGTGTGAAGGAGGGAGCAAGCTGACTCTGGAACCATGCTGTGGTAGATGGAACCAGCCAGAAAAGGAGTCAAATTATGTGGTAGCTCCCCAGAAACAGATGCATCATCTTGCCCTGGTATCCGTGGAGCTCCACTTGCTATGAAGAGTCAGGGAGCCCTTTTGATAACCAGAATCTGCACACAGCACATGCCCTGTGTAGGCAGACTTCCCAACTGCACTGCAAGCAGGGTCAGCTCTTATAGAGGTGGCTTCTTGCCCCACCTCCAAGTTAATGTAGAAGGTGGGGGCACCTGGTGGTGACCTCCTAACCTGTTCCCACCCAAGACTGCCCAGGCCCTGGGGGAAAATCAGTTAGGAGGGTCTTTCTTGCCTGGTTGTGGACATCATCCATATGCCAGCCCTTTCTCAGGGCTGGGGGTTTAACCCCAGCACTTCATTCAGTCCTTTGGCACATGGATGAGCCACAGCCCTCACACTACCACCAGCTGCAAATCCATCACTCTCCACCTTGCATTCCCAGGACGCAGGGATCCTCTGGCTTGGCTGAGGTCCACAGCTGGTGATTCACTCGTCACAGTTCCCCATCCATGTCAGACCCAGCCTCGCAGTTTGGATCCCCATCCCACTGCTCTCCTGGGGACGTGCTGCCCACCCATGTACACCAAGTCAGTCAGCACGCGTCCTCGTCACGCGGGTGCTCCTGATACTGCTGTCACCGTCATATCTCCATAGCAAGGAGGCATAATGTCCATCACTACACAGATACTGAGATCCTTCACACTTTGTGCTCGCACTCTCAGCAGCTCCACACTGGGTCTGTAAAGTAAGGGTCTACACCTTGTGGTCATTCTCGCAAGTAACGCTTATTTGCGAGGACATGTTCATGTTTTTGTTGCCCAGGCTTCATGATGAAGATGGTATTAGCCTTCCCTACAGCTATTGCTTCAGCTGGCTCAGGAGGACCCATAATTTTCTTCCATTAGTAAAATTGGTGCATCCAAACCCGTTATCCCCACATACGGTGGTAATTTGGGGTGGTTCCCCCCTCCTCACTGTTCTTTCTAAAACTGACAATATCAATAACTGTGCTATTCTATAATGGGGTTGAACAACCAAGTCTTGCTTACCATTATTTAACAAGTTTACCTTAATTTCTTCTTGATAGTCTTCATCAATCACTCCTCCCATCACATGAACACCCTTAAGAGCTAAGCTTGAGCAAGCATCTCTCAGACCAAAGTGTCCTGAGGGAATTTGGATGCCTATCCTGGTGTTAATAACTCTTATCTGATTTCGACTTACTTTTATCAATTCTAATGCATAAAGGTCTAGCCCAGCAGCGTCTGGAGTGGCCCAGTAAGGGGCCATTGCACCCAGGACAATTTCCCAGTAAGTCAAAGTTTCACTCACTGTTAGAAGCTATGTCTGCAAATTGGGCATAGTCATGAGCATCAAGGGAGTCTCCATCTCCTGAATGGGTCTGTTGTTGAGAGGACATAGCACATCTGTGAGTTGAGTTCTCCACCTGGACTGGTTTCCATCTCCTAGCTTCCTTCAGGGTTCTTTTAATAGGCCATTCATCTGTTCAATCAGTCATCCTTGGTCCTGGGGTAAAGGTCCAATGTAGTCCATGTGCTGGATTTGTCCTGGCAATTTCCCAAATTCTCCTTTAGTTGTGATGTTGCATTATTTCATGAAGTTCTTTCCCAGGATACAGGTCAGAATACAGCCTCCAATCATCCTTCTCCCCCAGAACAGCTGATTCATCCACAGGGAGCTTTCTGTGGGCAAATGTGGAGTCCTGTTGAGTTTCCAGAGGAGGTGCCAAAGGTTTAACTGTTTCTGAGATGTTCACCTTATACCTCTGCACTTTTCTGCTGGGTTTATGTAACCCTCTCTGCATGTATAATCTCCACAGTTCCTGGGGTTCTGCACCATCAGTTTTGCTGCAAAATACTCCATCCTTTAACAAAGCTGCAAACACCTCCCCTCGAGAGGTTCTGTGTTGGCTGGTCCAGTGGCGTCAGGTTTCTCAGTGTCCATTCTCCTGGGGGGGCCCACTGACGTTGGGTACTTTGATTTCTTTCAGTTTCTTGGGGGGCCCCATTCTCCAAGATCCCGCAGTTGCTGTACTTTATCAACTTTTATCATCTACTTCTCTGATGGACTTCCCTGTCTTGTTAAAAGTGTCATCATTATATGCTTATAGGCTGGTGGAACCGTTCTAATAATGGTATTTCTCATAGAAACAGTGAATGCAAATTGCATTAAGGCATCAGCTCGGCCAGCAAAGATGGCCACTTTCTTCCCTTTTTCTTTCATGTGTTGAGTTCCATTTCACGGAGCATCCCATGGTCAGTCCAGTCCTGGCCAGGCATTCTCCATCAGGTATTTATTTCTACATCCCACAGTGCCCACGGCCAACAAATTGGTCACTTGATTGTTGTTCCAATTGCACAAAGGAATCAGAACTCAGTATGACAAATTTCTTGGAGTCTGGCTCATCAAGAGTAAGCCCTGATGCTCCCTGGTCACACAGATGAACCGTCCACAAGAGCAGGGGTTCTGGCTGTCGTTGAAATCACTCAGTGATGTCATTTACCTCTTGTTGTGTTTAATCTTGTAAAATGCATCTTTTCTCAGCTGCTGTCTGTTGTCATCAAATTCTGCCCTTCGCCTATACACTGGTCTTACATTACAAGACTCACTTGAGGAGGCATCCTCATCAGAATCAGGAGGGTCTTTCTTGCCTGGTTGTGGACATCATTCACTTGGCAACCCTTATTCAGGGCTGGGGGTTTAACCCCAGCACTTCAAGTTGTTGGCATGATTTGCTCCAGCTTTGCATCTTGCACCTTCGCCGCTTTATTCATCTGTCAGTGTTTTCAGTAACCTTGCTTAGAATATGGGTTTCTTAAGTGTTAGTTTATCAAATTACTGAGTTCCCCAAATATTTCATTAGCCTGACACTTAGGCTAAGGTGTAAGGATAGAGCAGTCCTGGTAAAAGAACTTTAAAGTATTCTAAAAGGGTATGGAGAGGCTTATGTGGGTTTGCAAAACAACGTTCTTGAATGTTAAAAATACAATCTTTTTATTATCTTAAGATATTTAATTATGTCTGTCTGTACATATCTTATTAAAAGGGAAAAGCAAATTTACTTGCCCAGGCTGAATAGAACAATCATTTCCTGCTGCATTCTCTCATTATTAAACTTGAATTCTCCTGCCACAAGTCAGGGTTGGCACTGTGTAATCTGAATAACTGGCTTATATGCTATTTGTCTTGTTAGCAGTGTTTCCAGATAAGTCTCTTCATGTGTTTGCTTTTCCAGTTTAACTGTAGAAGTTCTAAGAACAAAAGGTCCATGTGTTGTAGAAGAAAATGATCCCATCTTTGAGCGTGGCTCCACAACTACGTATTCCAGCTTCAGGAAAAGCTTTTACACAAAGCCATGGTCAAATAAAGGTGAGTATATTTCTTGTTTCAAGTTTTGAGTCCTCAGAAAAATCTTTTATTTTTTCACCTATGCTTTGTACTCAACAAGTTATATTTTCAGAGGAGTAAATGTATTGTGGGGTATAATCTTAAACCTCCAAACTCTTACACTAAGCAGAGCTTTGATGTTTACTGTGAAAATAGTAATGTTTAATTTACTGTGAAAATAGTCATGTTTCAAAAACTGCAGTGCTACCTGTGAATTTCTTCTGTCATGAATGTTTAGGTGCTGTGGAAATGCTCGTCTGCTTTACCAGAAAGTAGTTCTGGATTCTGGTCTCTGGTACATATGTGGCAGTTGGCAAATTTTTAACGGTTTATTTACTTGGTTCTTCCAGCATGGGCAGGAATAAAATATATAAGCCAACTCTGTGTGGGCTGATTTCATGGACACATGTGTTTTTCTGAGTGGATATTTTTTTTTAATTGTGTCTGCTGTTAATTCATTATTATTTTTAGGCTGACAACACTGGGCAAGACTTTTTATAATTGGAAATGTTTTTATACAACTATACACGGAAAATTTAGCTTCAGATTTCACTGCTGCTTTTGAAATGCATGCTTTTGCTTTCATCAATAATGGAGATGGTATTTTTACATATGTCTTGTTCTGATTTTTTTTTGTAGTTGTGATCAGAATAAAAATGAACATTGACAATTTGGAGTTGCTTAGCTTTGATTTACTAGCTTTGCTAAATGTATTATTTCTGCAGTTTTATAGTAGATTAGACAGTTATTCTAGCAGTAGTTTATTTAGCAGATGTTATTAGAGGTACTTAGGTAATAGACAGTCCAGCTCAGCTGAACTTGCAGCCACAGTAAGTAACCTTAAAGTTATCAGTCTTGTTGCATTAAGTTTGAAAGGTGCTTTTATTTTAGATAGCAAGACAGATGGCAAACTAAATACGTAAGTGTTTGTATCTTTTCTTCCCCTGCAGAGACAGACATGTTCTTTTTAGCTATCAGCATGGTAGGAACAGATTTCTCCTTGATTGGACGGCTGTTTCCTCACAGAGCTAGAGCAGAAATTAAGGTAAAAGTTGAAGCATGCAATAAAATATCCATTTTCACTTTTCTGTCTCTCAGTCGCTGTGCCTATGCTTCTTCTGTTAGTACTGATCATTTTAATGCTGATTGGCTCTGTAGCAATGCTTTTTTAATACCTATTTCTCAAATGTAGTAAGTATCTGAGAAATTAGTATGGATTGAATTCAAATCAACTTTTCTATTAAGACTAGCATAATTAGGCACAGTTTGTCTCAATTGATTTTAACTGAAGAATGCTGATAAGCATAAGGGGATGTTTGGTGAGGGTCTTTTGTGGTGCCTCTCTCGTGGTATCCTGATGGGAAAATCTTTGATATTTCAAGCTCTGGTGGGATTGAAAGTACAGAAAAAGAGGTTGAAAATAATAAAATAGGACTGGTGGTAGCTGTTGGTGCCTGTGTGAACCAACACAGGCAGGAGGCAGAAAAACCACAGCAGCACTCGAGGAGACACACAAGTGGGGACAGAGGCATAGGGGAGCTCAGTCCTTGCCAGAGAGTGAAAAAAAAACATTTGACCTGCTGCTTTTGGCAGTGTACTGGGGATTTTTGCAGATGTAGTTTTCCACTGTGCTTTCATCTTTCTCACAGCAGGGCAGGAACCCCAGGCATGTCTGGTAAGGTGCCCCCAAGTCCTTCACAGGCCTGTGTTATCTAAACAAAGATGTTCTGCTTGTCAAGCACACAAGACTAAACAATGATTAGTGTGATAGATGCTTTTTTTGACACACCAGCTCCAAGTCACTTGATCGTGTTTACACTCCTCCTTGCAGTCTTCCATTATCTTCCCACAATGACAGATTTTATATTTAAAAATTAATTACAAACTTGTGTTCTCTGAGTGTGCTTTTAAGTTTGTAGCAACTTTAATTGGTAGAAAATTTTTTTGCATTGAAGAATGCTATCTTGAGCTGCCACTTTGTACAATATATTGTTGCATTTCTTGTTTACTGAAAAAGGCAAATGTACCTTTGCTTTTAGAACAAGTTCAAACGAGAAGAAAAAGCTAATGGATGGAGGATAGACAAAGCTTTCAGTAAGTAAAGTAAAGGTACTCTACCCTGCAATGAGTTATTAAATGGTAGTCATTTTTTTTCATGGTAATATTTGTGCTTTGCTTTGTTTGAATTAATTACAAGAAAAAGGTTGCTCATGGCTGAGCTCAGAAGCTGAGGAATCTTAGGTTTTTTATAATAAACATAGCTGACAATAAAGATCTTTAGGTTTAATTTCTGACTTTTCTGTATGTCTGATAAATAAGGTTAATATAAACTTTTCTATATATTTTCAGTTGAAGGTTATTCTGATTCATGGGAATGTCTGGAGCACGTAATTAGTGTGAACTACTTTGAGAGTACTTAAAAAGCTTTGTGTATTATTTGAATGAGCTACATAAGTCATAGAGCAGCCTGTCAGTACATTCTTTGATGCTATGGTAAAATTTGTGTGTTTGTCATAATCTTAAATTCTCTGAACTACTAAGTACTGTAACTTCTTCACTATTTGTTTTTTAAAACCAAGCTACCATAATCCATACATATGTCAGTTAGTCCCTGCTCAAGTGATACAGGAAGTATTTTCAAAAAGAATTATGTTTAAATTTATATAACCTTTGCTTTTCATATCATGTCATGTACCACAAACTTGGAAAAATTATCAGCTTAGAAATATTTTACATTCCTTTGCTTTATTCTGATAGAAGAAAAGCGGCCTTTTGATTTTGAATTCTTTGCCCAGCTGCTTGAGAAGGTCTTAGCAGATGAGGAAAAGAGGAAGCAAAAAACTGCTAAAAGCCATAAGCCAAAGGAAAAGAAGCCACCAAGGCCTCGAAAGAAGCCAAAAGGTAATTCAAAGAGTGCTTGAGATAGCATTACAGAACAGTGATCAGTAATGTGTTGCTAGCAGAGGAAAAATCATGCAGGGAATCTTTTTTTACTTGTTCTGGACAGGGCAAGCTGATCCTGGCTTCACAGCATAATTTTTTCAGATGTAGTTTACTGATGTGTGGGGTGCTAATAGTGGGTAGCAGCTGGTTTCCTGAGGTGCATTTTTTCTGAGCAGGGATGTGAGACCACACTGAGATCTGTTGATCTCGGTGAAGCACTGTTTGAAGCACTGATATTCTGAACAGGATTTTCTAATTACAGAGTTGATGAGTGTCTCCATGAGTTGCTAATGAATTCACTTTTAGAAACCTTGAGCCAAAAATGTATTTCTGGCAAGCTCTTCTGCAACTTTTAATTTTTACTTCCATTTAAAACCCTCTTCTTCAAAGGATTGTTTCTGCTTTAATTATAATTTGACTCCCTAAGTCTGATGGGTGTGATTCTTCTTGAGTCTTGTAAAAGTTGTTTTGGTTTTATGGATCTGTTCAAACTCAAGGATAAAGATTATGTTTAATTACTATTTATCACTGTATAGTGTCTTCTTAACTCAGTACCTGTGAAAGCACCTTCCATAGGTGTGCTTAAATTCAAAACAGTTATACTGGCACCGTTTCATAAATTCCTTGCTAATCATGTGGCATTTGTTTGTTTGTTCCACAAGGACCCATTTTCTTATAAGTGGTATTGTGGAACAAATAAGTGAACAACCTTTTTAAAAGGGATACTAACTAGGAAGCAACATTGCTGTTTAATTCTTAAAACTGACATGGTTCCTGCTTTTCTATAGCCTTGATTTTAAATTTGATTAAGTAATGTGTCCCACCTATTAGGACTTAAAGCCACATACAGAAATTCTGTTCATGGACTGTAATAGTAGATCAGAGATACTTTATGTGTAAAGCAAAATGAGTATGCTTTTCTACTTCTCTTGCATTTTGGATTTCTTAATTACAAGGGAACAAGTTTGTATTAGAATAATATTTGATTATAGAATAATACAATAAAGTTGTATTAGGATAATAAAAAGGGCAGGGAAAGGTTCTTGTTGGTTGAGCTGCATTCATACAGAATCAAGATCAAATGTTCCGAAAAAGGGAGTGAGGAGAACACTAGAAACTCATTAAACCCAGAAAAGAACTTGTGAATTATTAGCTAGATAATAATTCAGTTTTCTTATGTAAATAGGAATGATTAACTACAATACATTTATTGACAATAATTACTTTTTCATGGCATACTTTCTGCAACTATCATCACTTCTTTCTGCAGAAATAGGATAACTTTTTTCTGGAATAGCAATGCCTGTTTTTCCTGGATCCTAAAGAGACTGTGTAGCCTGCCAACAGATATAGGAACAAAACCATTTATTAAATTGGCTGTACACCCTATATTGACTGTACCCTGGTGAAGTGTTGTCCCATATGCAGAATGTGTTCTCTGTGTAGTGTTGAAGTTTATGTATGCTGAAGCGTTTTTGACTTAAGAGTCAGTGACTGACAGCTTTTATTTCTGGCAGTGTATTGACAGTGATGTACAGATTCACATGATCCTGCTAGTAGCAATATCTTTGCAATTTATAGCTCCTGATATTCTCCACCAGTCTGTTAACCAGGAACTGTATTGTCTCAATAGCAAAAGTTACCAACACAGAAGCTGCTAATGATCAAGGTGATCTTCAGGAAGCCAGAATTTCTGATGCAGAAACAGAAGCAGATGCAGTGACAGCTGAGAAAGAAAATGAGGAATCTTTGGGCATTTCTGAACAGGTGGAAGAACAGGTTGCATTAGAGTCAGTGTCAGCAAAAAAGAAGAAAAAGAAGAAGAGAAAAGATGACCCTGAGCAGGAAGTGGAGAATCTTCAAGAAGAAATGGATGTACCTTCCAAAATTGCCAAAGAAGGGAAATCTTCTAAGAAAAGTAAGAAGCAAAATCGCTCACTTTCAAATGTTCAAATATAAACTTTTTATATAAAGACATTGCAACATGACAAATGAGAACTTGTGGTTTTATTAGATCACTGATCTGCCTTGGGAGGTTGCAGAACAGTGCCTTTAAAAATCAGCTTTCATACTAAACCTAAATATTATATTTTAGCTGAGAATGGTTTGCTTAAATCTTAATACTTAGGCATTTTCTACTGGGATATTTTTGTCTTAAATTAACTCTTGCTTCACTGTAACGAGGATTTGAGAATGGGAATTCTAAGATGTTGCCCAGAATGTCTAAACTGATGTAATTTTTATTGAGTAGCAGAAAAAAAAGTGGTATGCAATGCCAGCAATGATGATCATACTGCCTGTGGAGAAGAGCTGGGTAGTGTCACTGAAGGAAAGCAGGATGAGACTGCTGTTACAGAGAAAGAGAGACCAGAGTCCTGTTTACCAGTGGATGATGTGCTGGAGAGAGAAAGTGATGTCAATTTATGCAGGTAATGTTTACAGTGGAAAGCTTAGGCACAATAAAAAGTTTAAAGTTTTAACTTTCCCTAAAGCTTTTATGCTTTAATACCTCATTGGAAGCATGTAAAGGACCAATATTTGTCTTTGAACTCAACATAGATTGTTACAGACCAGTGGGGGAAAAAAAGCTTCTGCAGTGTCTGTTAGTGAAGTCTAACTTTTAAAAAAAAAAGTTTTTTAAAAAAATATCTAGTCTAGAATATTCAGATGGGATATTTCTATCTTCTTGTAATAGCAGAAGTACAAAAGCTGTTTTAAAGCTCATATCCTGCAAATACCACTAAAACTCTCCAGATTCTCTAAAACTCATGTAGTTATTTAATGTTAGCATTGCTTAATTTTTCTGTGTTACTTATCCATAAACAATAGTAGTCCTTTTTTTAAAATCTTGTAACATAATATTTTTGTGATTTTATTTTATTGATTTCAGCTTTGAAGATAGCAATGATGTTATATTAGAAATGGAATCTGCTAAACTGAGAACCACGGATATTAGAGATGATACATCACGAGAAAGTCACATTTCAGAGTTACCAGTTTCAAAGATTAGAAGTAAAGAAGGACAGTGTGAAGAAACTAAAGAAACAAAGGTATTTTTATTTTTTATGTAAGTCTTACTTGTTAAGATCTTCCTCTTTACCATAAAAAGTGCTTTCATGTTTGCTAATCTAAGCCACTTTTTGGCTGTTTTTGTGGTGCTTTACCACTAGGTAAAAAGGCAACAAGCCTAACAACATCAACAAAATTTAACTACTATCAATTTGGCTGTCTTGAGGGGGTTGTCTGTTATACTAAATTTATTCAGGGAGTATACTGTGTGTTCCTGGATTATCTTATAAACATAACAGCTAAAGGTTGTATTTGAACATGAACCAGTACAATATCAACAGTAAAACCTTGAAGTGAGATTTTGCTGTTGTAACACCTACTGGCGTGACATTGGAGACTGATAGGAGCATTGGGTGGTTTGTGCTGCTTCAGAAAGGAAACCTGAAGAAACTCTTGTGCTTTAGTACTGGGTGCCACGAGATGCTTTCAGGAAAGATGTAAGAAACCAGACCAGAATTGAATGTTCGTTCTTCAGGTATGTTCTAATCGGGTCCAGCGGTTAGAAACTTGTTGAGATTGCATCTGGCTTCTTTTGAAGCCCTTGATGTGCCTCTTACTGCTTTTTACTCCTGCTTTTTAGCATCTACCTATACCTTTGTGATGAATTACATGCTGCAGCTGAGAGTTCATTCCTTTAATTATTCACTTAACAAAAAAGGTGTGTTCTTTGGATTGTTTTAAGCCTGATGCCTGGTAGCTTAAGATGCACTGTACTTCCACTGTTACCTTCCTGATCATCTTCTCCAAGCTATTCTTATTTATAATGCCACTTTTTTAACTCTTCAACAATACTGTTTTCAAGCTGAAGGGTCCTAATCTTAGTTTTTTTCTTGTATAGAGGAAGCTGTGTTTCTCTGATCCACCTTCTATCTTTGTGTACTTCTCATTTTTGGAATGTAATACCATACTGTTCAAAGACTTGTGCTGAGGGGGAATGAATTACTTTCTCTTGGGCTTTCTAATACAAAGAATGATCTTATGGCTGAGGTTTGTGGTGCAAGATTAGGAAATTGTGAGGGTTTCCCTAATGTGACAGGCTAATAATTTGTTCTTTGACCTTTATTTTGGATTCTGTTGCCTAAAATAATATCTTCATCTTAATGGAAAGTCAGCTACTTAGAATCCTCACAAGTGTAATTTCTTTTGCCTTGCTGTGGTTAATTTGCTTTGAAAGTATATGAACATAATCACTGACCTAAAAGTAGAGATACTCAGTCAACCAGTGATGGGAAATAGAATTCTATTAATGCTATTAAAGAGTTAAATTTAGAAATGTTTTTATGCAGTAGGCTTTTACCTTAGTTCACTAAATAGATTTTATAAAACATTTTCTATAGTTGTGATTAGTTTGCCATGTTGTCAAGGGATTTTTTTTTTTTGTTTTCAGAGTCATGATCAGTGCTCTCTAGGAAAAGTATTTAAATACTAGACGTTGAAAGTAATGATAGCTGGTAGTGCCTGTGGTGATTCAGCTCCAGGTGGGAGCCAGAACCCACGTGGATTCTCACACACTCCCTAACGCAACACGTGAGGGAGAAGAGGGAGAAAAACACAAACCCCCATGGGCTGACATAAGGAGAATCTAATACAACGGAGAAGGAACAGTAAACAATGACAGCAATATATGCAACAGTGTGTAATTATATATACAGTAAATATATATAATTTATATATAAATATACAGTGTATATTTCAGTTGGGCCAAGAGGAACCTAATGAGG